AGTTAAATTAATGTCGTGAAGTATAAAGTAAAATATTTACTCTGAAATGTAGCAAAGAGAAGTATGAAGTAGCAAAAAATGGTTTTATATTATTATTATTTAAGGACAAATGTAGCCTAATATCAAACTCTTAAGCTGATGAAACGGAGCAACTTTTTGAGCAATGTTGCTGGGCAATGTTGCTAGTGGCAAGTCCGACTATGTTTTGAACGGATAGCGGCGGTGCGGGCGGGTGGCGGATGGTGGGGGAAGGAGATACGGTAGTATTCTTTACTCATTACCATTGACACCAACGTACCCTGCACGATTGCTCTAAAAGTTGCTCTGTATATCATCAGCTTTACTTAGCTCTAATATTTAAATTTTAAGGTATTTTGAGTATTTCCATTCACATTTGGTATACTGATATGATGAACTATACTGCTAATCTACCCAGTAGTATACAATACCTAAAACTGGGTCCACATTGAATAACATAAAACTACTCTTACAAGTACTAAAGGATCGGAGTACTTATCCACTGCTGACCAGTGAGTACGGCGAACATAATGCTACAGTTGCTTAGTCGAACCTTGATAGCATCCAGGGCCACCTCCCATGCTAGTGGATGTGCTAGTGATTAGGTAGTAAATGTTAATATGTGCAGTTTTATTAGAGCAGATAAACACTTTTTTAAATTGGTTCTTTACACTTTGCTTGTGTTTAACCCTCTAAACTCTCTGCATGCACTGTATTTCTCCAACTACAGCCATTTACACACCACTTCAGCACGTGGAGAAATCAAAAACTAGACAGGAGGGGGTTTAGCAAACGATCAATTAAACAGGAATACATGAGAGAGGGGTGAGAAATTTGGCTAATCTGATTTAAAACATTTTAAACGCACAATAATACTCATTATTTTGTTTCTTCTTGGAGTGATGTAGCTTTAATAAATTAAATGTTTTACATTAAAATCATAAATGGTGTTAAACCTCTCAGGCAGATTGCAGTCTGTCACATGTACAGTAGCCCACAGCCACTCTCCTGTTTTACCTTATATGGTTAGAAATGGCTCACTTCTCTTTCTCCTAGTCTTTCTATCCCTCCCTACCTCTCTCTGTATCTCGCGGCAAAGCCTGCTATCTAACACACACACACACCTTTTTCACACAGACTTGTCAGCCTCATTTTTCTCTCTCTCTTTATCCCTATTACATGTTCACACACACACACACACACACACACACACACACACACACACACAGGTAATGTGTGTGTGTGACCTTGTCTCTCCACATGCTGACTTTCACTTTGCAATTCAAACCAGCTGGACAGTCAGTCAGTTTTTTATTAAAATACCTGACTGACTAAACACAAACACGCCTTCTGACCAGCTGAGCAAGGCACCAACATGGACGAGGGTCACAGGTTCAATTCCCACTGAACGCCATGACAGGACAGATAGGAATATGAACAACTGCATTTTAATCTTATTTTTCCAACATTTTCACGGCCTGCTTGAGAGACGTGGTCATTAACATCTCACCACAACATTTAATCAGTTAGATGATCATGAAATTCACTTCATTAAGCAACAACGACTCAAAATCATGGATTCCAATTCTCAAATCCCTAATTATCTGTTTTAAATCACTGTAAATTAAATTTCTTTGGGTTTTGACCGTGGTGCAGTGGTTAGCACTGTCGCCTCACAGCAAGAAGGTTCGAACCTTGGTTGTCCCAGGCC